TTTTCAAGGAATTATTTCGTTACTTTTTAGTGTACTGTTTTTTTGAGAATATTTTGTTTTTGGTGTATTTTGTTTTGTTTTTAGTGCATTCTGTTTTGTTTTTCGTGTATTTTGTTTTTCTTATAAGAAGAGGATGGAAAGGGGAAGAGGATTTGACGGTGGAGGAGATGCATAGGAAGGGGAAATGTCCTCTTTATGTGCGTCTCCTCCTCCGTCGTATACGGGTGGGCAACGCATCTGCAGTTGCGGATGTCTATGGGCAGCGGTAGCTTCGCCATTTTGGCGGATTCGGGTAGCCGCTTGCTCGTTTGCCACCTTATGTTATAAAAAAAAATGATGATGATGATGATGATGATGATTGAAATTACTCAAAAAGTACTGTGCCGGTTTCAAAAATTCTTTCACCATTAGAAAGATAATTTATCTGCGAGTGTAGCCTATGTTACTGATAACGTATATTTTTAATGGTGCAAGATTTATATTAATCGGCCCAGTAGTTTTTGAGTTATTTTAAATCATACAAAAATACAAATCTTTCCCCTCTGTAACATTAGGAAAAGATATAGACCAAGTAAATAAATTTCGTATCCTTCATAATATAAAAATAATTAGTTGGTTAATGTTATTGACAGAGATACAGGTAGTTAATATTTACTATAAATTCTTAAATTTAAATTAATATAATATGGTTAATACAATCAAGTTGCATTTTACATACAAGTCTACAAGGCGACTGACGCAGCCCGCAAAGCTCCCTCTATACAGTCGAGTTTGAAAGTCGAGGCAGGGGTTACAAACTTTAGGTACATTTTTACATTAACAAAATATGAATTGTACCCATGAATTGAATTAATTTGTATTTATGATCTAAAAAAGTGTTAAAAAATACCTGTAATTATGTCAAGAGTTAATTTTTTTTTCGCAAACCAAGGTTCGTTTGGGACCAAAGTTTCAATTACAGTATTAATTATTTCCTTTTAATTGCTAATTTTTAAACATTTGTCAAATAGTCTTTTTGAGAATAAACTTTTTAAACCTAATTAGTTGGTTAGAGTAGCTTTCATACAGTATACAGTAGCTTTCACCTACTTTGTTGATAACATTGATTCGATTTATTCTTAGAAACATAGTTGATTTATGAGTGTAATAAAAATGTTTCGTACCCCTGTTTCCAACAAGGAGGTGAGAGATAGAAGTGGTTGTCTGGCCTCAGTCGACTGTCAGCCGCGCGAACCTCCGAACGACTTTCACTACGTAAAGGAACCTTCACAACGATATGCTGCGATAAAAAACCTCAAGTGTTAGTGTTGTGAAAAATAATTAAAAAAAAAACTTTTTTCCTGAACACAATTATGATAGTGTCCTATTATGCTGCAGCCTAGATTATTTGTTAACGGAAGTGTTAGTGTCAAAATGGGATTCAAGAACTTTTTCATGAAGACAAGCTTTTGGACAATTTTGTGCGCGATCTTTCTAAGCACCACTCTAGTGACATGTCAAGGTAAGGCTTTGTTAAGTTCTGATCACGATTTAAAAAGGTTATATTGAGTCATTGCTAAAAGAACAAATCGTGAATTCATTGCATACATATCTGATTTTTTTTATGATAAAAAATATTCATTGTGTTCTTTATTTTAAAAATCAAATACAATTAATATTTAGCTACATTATTGGATAAGGGCGCTGTCTTGTGCCCTTATAAGTTAAGCTTAAAAGCTTTTTTAATAAACGTTGTAAAAGACATCAACGCGCTTCTACGGCAACATAAATACAAGTTTTTCTTATATTAATTCTAGATGTTTTTATGTATTTTTTTAACATGATACATTAAGAAATAAAATGAATATCTTAGTTCATTTATCAGTAAATTTGGAAAAAATATACAATAGCGTTAAATTGAATTACTGGTAAGGTAATTTTATTATTGAAATGTAACATTTTGCGTAGCTTTAGTGACGAAAGTTTTACTCGTGTTCATAAAATGCTATAGTCTGAAGTGTTTTGAGAATACTTAATAATGTCAAGATGTTAAAAGATGAGTGTTACTGAAAATGAAAGGAAAAGTTTCGTTACAAAATTGCTTTTAGAGGTGCGTGATTATAGTTAAGGAAGTTATCGTTTCTGTTTCCACTGCAGAATACATGTATAGAAACAAGTTGATGTCTCAATTTTATTAGAGAAGGAAAAGATTTAATTAGCTACATTTATTTTTAAAACAATATATCGGATAAAAACAATATTAATAAACAATTTATATGCTAGGTGTGATATATTTTTCGTCAATATAAAAATAGAAAAACAACTATTTGACCTCTGGACATAATACGCAGTATTTTCCGCTAAACGAGTTTTGAATTCGAATACAAAATAATATGAAAATTGTGTTACATCGAATACAATCTACTAATATTATAAAGAGGAAAGATTTGTATTTTTGTATATATTAAAATAACTCAAAAACTACTGAGCCGATTTTAATAATTCTTTCACCGTTAGAAAGGTAATTTATCAATGTGTAACATAGACATTTTTTAAATATATATTTACTAGTTGTAGCTCGTGACTTCGCCCGCGTAAGTCACGAGCTACAACTAGTAAATATATATATTGAATTTAGTTTAAATACGATGAAAATGTCGAGCACATGTAGATATTTTAAAGCCTTATTATACAAAAGGCAACTAGGCCCTGACCATATGTGTTGATCATTAAGTCACTTAGGTATTTAACATAGCATTATGTACATATACAAGGCTTCGTTTGACCCCTATATCGTAAGCGTTTGCGCAAGCGGTGAGCGGTCAACACGGCAAATGTCACTTGCGGTTTCATATCCACTTTTGTGTACTGAGAATGAAGCTATTAGACGAATATAATGAAATATTTATCTTGTAATAATCCCTTTATATTGTTAAGTGTAAGATACATTGACATTTTAATTGTTACAATTTTTATCGTTGTCTTTAGTTCTCAATATGTTACTCGTCATTCTCCTTATCGTACTCCCGTAGTAGCGTAACATATTTTTGTCCTCCACATAACTCTATCATACGTCATCTCAGTCATCACTCCCTTTTTGATCATGTCACCTTTCACGGAATCCATCCATCTCTTTCTAGGTCTACCACAATCGTAATTAACTTTCTCCGTAATATGTTACTAATATCTTACAGTGAAGGAATACATCGTGATGCAACCTGCACATATCGACGAAGAAATTCAAAGTTATTGAAGTCAACCAACCCGCGCTTGGCCAGCGTGGTTGACTATGGCCTAGACATCCTTTATTAGGGTAGGCTTCGAGCCCCTCGGTGGGGACGTATAGCTGGTGATGATGTGATGATGATAAATAGGAAATTTTAGATTAATGGAATTTAGATAAAATTTGGTATAGATGTAGAATACATAGGCTACTTATTAAATATGTTTAATTCCGTACAGACGTAGTCGCTAAGTTACACTTAAATAAATTACAAATTTCTATCTTTAAGTTTTTTGTATCAACTTTCATCATCATCTCTTTATCCTACTCCCGTAGGGTCGGCGCAGCAGGTTTTTGTCCTCCACATAACTCTATCATACGTCATATCACTCCCTTTTTGATCATGTCACCTTTTACACAATCCATCCATCTCTTTCTAGGTCTACCTCTACCGATGTCCCCTTCCACACTCATAACTAACGTTCTCCTTGTAACATGCGATTTATCCCTCCTCATAACATGCCCATACCATGCTAAACTTTTACTCCTTACCTTCTCTACTACTGGGGCTACTCTCAAACTTCCTCTAATATACTCATTTCGTATCTTATCCATTCGTATCTTACCCCACACATCCATCTTAACATTCGCATTTCTGTCACATGCAGTCTCCTTAATGTATCAATTTTCTTTTTGTTTTAAAGCCATGAGGGCTTCAAATCCTTACAGATTTCATCATTGTAAATAGAATAATCTGATCGCATATACTCCTGTAGTCACGACGTATAAAAAGTGAAACGAGCCATTGCATCAACAAATACAATTTTGTTCATTTATTGCATACAGACGTTCACGTAACTGTTTTATTTTAAAAGGTGGCAAACGTGCAAGCGTCCAATTGAGTCAAAAGTGAAGTGATTGTTGATTGAATATCATTTGTGGATGATGTGATTGATGTGGATGTGGATGTTGCCTTCTGTCTATTTATACGTATTTTCTTCTCCTAAATCTTCCTCTCCATCCTTATAAGGAAGAAATCGAGAAGAGGAATAAAAATCGTCCGGTGTAATACCACGACCAAACAGAAAACAGGCGTGAAGTGAAAGCAATTCCGTGATTCGTCTGATGAGTGTGGTGCGGAAGGCCTAATTTAAGTCCATTTTTCTTTACCACCCTTTCTTATAAGGAGAGGATGGGCAGAGGAAGTAGATTTGACGGAAATATCCTCTTTATATGAGTCTCCTCCTCCGTCGGATAAGGGTAGGCAACGCATTTGCAATTGCGGATATCTATGAGCAGCGGTTGCTTCGCCATTTCGGCGGATTTAGGTGGCCGTTTGCTCGTGCAACCTTATGTTATACAAAAAAAACAGGCTCTTATTAACATAGATTCCTAACGCCTAACGCCTACTCTATTGTAGTCCTTTATTAACTCTTTTATTTACTTCTGCAATAGTTTTATTTTTATATGACAAATATTTCAACTACAGGTTTATTCATTTAAAAGATTACTATAATTAAAAAAAGTGAGTTTGCTATGCCTTATGTAAGTTACATTGAAACAATTGTAATTCAAATGTTTTTAGAATTAATTATATTGCAAAAGTAACTTGTACTGTATTATTCATAAAAGTAGGCTTATTATTTAATTTGTATCTTGCAACTTATGTTAGGAATGTCATTAGCCTACTAAACAAGTTATCAACATTCCTTTAATATAGAAATCTGTATAGTTGGAACGCCTAGATATAATTGCAGTAGTTAGTGTTTATATAAACGCTAGGAAGAGGGCCACTATAAGCGTAGCCAATCTAGGCGATGTTTAGTGTAGCTTTTATTCGTAGGATTTTTTTAAAATTTCGCACTAGTTTTTGCCCGCGTGAAAATAAAAGTAATTTGCCTATTTGATCTTCCAGATAATCCTCTACATCTATTCCAAATTTCATCGATATCCGTTCAGCAAGTTAGGCTAGAAACTCTAACAAACATCCATACATTTAAACTTTCTCATTATATTTGTTAGATTGTTTTCAACGAAGTTAAAGTCGTAAAAACTAACATTAAACATATTTTCTCATAGATTTTCACAATAAAACCCGTTAATTGACTTGTACAGATATGCTAAGTAATAAAGAGTCAAGTTATCTCTGCGCACACTTTGTAAGTTGTACGTTGACTTAGATTCTACGTCGCAAAGGGTGGGGCCTAACTATGAAAGGATTAATTCTAAAAACAGTAATGTTATTTTATATTTTCAAACAATAAGTTGAACAAGGTAACATTGTACGTGTATTATTAAAGAGTACTTTATAGTAACAAATATTATTTTAAAAGTAGGTCGTATTCGTTGGTCGTTCCTATCCTGAAGTTTTGGTTACAAATATCAGGCGAGTCTTATTAATTTTGTACAATCACCTGAGAAAAAAATATTAAATTGGACAATTTTTGTAAGTCAATCTATAATGCCACTATTTTAAATAACTGACATACTAGACTGTATTTAAAACGTCTAACATAATGTAAAAAAGTGAATATATCGCTGTAAATGGGACCGCACCATTTCTCGCGGCATAAAAACCTGCGCTGAGTGGGTCAGGCGGGCAGGGCGTATATACGGATGTCGATACAGGTTGTCTATACAATAAATGTCAGTTTCCACTGCAGAAACACCTGTACTAAACTTCCTATCCCCTTCATTCTCTTTGAAGATAGATATATCAATATTTTCTTTATTACACATAATAGTCACAACTAGCTGTTGCTCTCGACTTCATCCACGTGGAATTATATAGCCTATGTTTCACAATGATGCCGTATCTTTTAATGGTGGAAGAATTTTTGAAATCGACCCATTAGTTTTTGAGATATTTCATTACATAAAAGGTACTAATTTTTCCTCTTTATAATATTAGTATAGATAGAAACCTGTTTTATAAAATGACTCTATCTGTAGCATAATTTGATCACTTTTAGCGAATTTACAAGGTAAAAAATAAAAATAAACTTTCTTTTTTATTCTCAATTACCTTGATTATAATTTAGAAAGCACAGCGATTAAAAATATTAGAATAAAATAGTAAAAAGACAATTTTAATGACAAAAAAAAACTTGTATTCAAATTTAGAATACGAGGTTAACGTCCATTTCACTTTGATTTAAATAAAAAAAATGCATTTAAATTACAAGACATCTGAATGTCATGCAAAACTTAACCATTAATTTTGCAACGAAGTGTATCAAGTTTCCAGGTTCCAAATTCAGTTAACATTGCACTAAAAGTAGCTATAGACAGGAAATATT